GGGTCGGGGCCATTAGTGGGTTATGGGGAGGTGATCTTGGCCGTTGATCAATCTGAGATCAACGGCTCAGATCAGTTTGGACCAAAACGGCGTCATTTGGATACCCTGGGTATCAGCTGGTGTTGGACCGGGCAGGCTTGGTTTTGGGCTGTTTGTTTGNCTATCTATCAGATCTCTTCTTTTCTTTTATATCCTCACAGTGTATGTCCTCTCTTTAATATTAGGTGGTATCTTTTTCTTTTTTTTTTCTCTTCTGTGTATCTCTCTCTATATCCTTATCAGTTCTTTTTTTTTTCTTGTATCCTCACAGTGTGTGTATTTTTTCCTCCCCTCTCTTAGGTCTGTCCTCCTCTATCAGATGTCCCCCCCTTTATAAGCCTTAAAACTAACCCTTTTAACAGCCTGTTTAGAATATCACCATACCCTTCCCATGTGCCTTCCATTTTCAGTTCCATTTTAACTAATTAAGTATTAAACCCCATCCTCCCTTGGCAGGCTTAAACTTTCCCATTTTATTAACCAAAAGCAAACATGGGCAGCAGAATATATCTGACAGCATATGCTGTCAAACCATTTTTAAATCAAAAGCTCTTTTATGCAGGAACCAGGCTGTGCACAATGCACATGCTGTGCACAAGTGCACATGCCATCAACTCAGATTTCAATTACAGACCAAGCCTTAGGTTTCTGAAATCATATTAACAACTATAAGTAACTGAACTTGTTTCTTAATTGATTCAGGCAATGTTCAACAGAAGCAAATCGATTTATTTTTGTTCAGACAGTTGAAACTAATTGACGACATATGTCGACTCGACTATACTAGCATTAACATACACAATCGTAGCCAAAAATCAGACATTTAAAAGTATAGGACATATGATTCGAATTGTACTGACTAAAAAGAATTGTATTTCGAGGAATCAGTTAATCAGCACGAATTTGGAATTCGACTAATTGCACAACAAATACATACACACACATTATCAGAATAAAGGAGGGATTCAAATAAACACAGTGGTTGAGGCAAAGTGGACAAACAGAAGCCGGTAAAAATTCAAAGACACAAATTGAAACAAAACATGAACAGACATTTAATCACTCACATGGACCAAACAGAAATAAAGAAAAGAAAGCAAGACTCACCTCAAATCTCGAAAAATCAAAACTTTGACTCGGACTTGGACAGACCTTTCTTAAGGCTGAACGGACTTTAATTGAAGTGTTTCTCATATGAGAAACACTTCTATTAAGGTCCATTAGACCTTAATCCTTCGGTTTGAACAAAACAACGGACCAGTGACGAGGAAACCTAAGGTTCGAAAACCAGATCCGGGATTCATGCTTCCCTGGTCAGATTCGGACCAAACCAAGTATGGTTTGGTCACGAGG